TGATGCTGTCTGAACTCAGGAATGTTCCGTGAACTGACACGAAGTGTTATTTTTATGTCTGGATTCAGACACATCTGACTGCTGTGTTCAGAGGGAGGCTCAGGTTTGTGTGCAGACAACTCATGCGTTACCTGCTCTCTTTATAACTCTGATTCAACAGCAGGGTTTTAATTATCTGCCTTTTAGAAACATAATATCTGTGGTGGCTGCAGGTTGCTGTCAAGCCTGTTGAACTTTCAGTCATTTGTCCCTGAAAGACTGATAAAACTTTAAATAAACCATTTGTGACTAGAAAAAACAAACACTGAGATAAATCTGTGCTGCAGAGTTTTGACTCTGATTCAGTTTAGATTAAAGATAAAATTAAGAGTTTTAAACTCTCTTCCTCCTCATTTGTTTTTCTCAGTCTTTGATTGAAATGAAGATTTGATCCAGATGAAATCAACAAGCTGCTGGAACAGTTTGTGGTCAGGTTCAGATAAGACTGTTTCTGGTCCGATCAGAGTCCAGCAGGAGGCGCTGCTGAACCACAACCAGAACACAACTTTGTTTTTATTACACACAAAAATTCAAGTTTTTCTTCTTCTGTTGTCATACAGTGGCTCGCAAAAGTATTTTTTTTATGTTTTGCAGCCTTACAACCTGGAGTTTAATTGGATTTTTTTTAAAATTTTGATTAAAAGTAACAGTTTTATAAAAACACTCGTCTTATTAAAACTTAAAAAAATGTGACTTTTTACTAGAAATAAATGTTGTTTTTATTAAGCTGTAAGAATAATTTAATCTCTGAATGTTCTGTGACTTCAGTGGCAGAACCAAAGATTAAAAAGTAAAAGTAAATATCAGCTGTAGGAGCCAGTTCTTCAGCTTCTGTTTGGTCCTGAGCACAAAATCAGCTCCAGATTCCATCTGTTAGTTTTAATTATGTAAAAAAAGTTTATGTGTAAAGAGAATAAAACCTGGTCATTTATTAACGACTTATAAAAACAATGTCTGGGATTAAAGTCTGTGTTTTTGTGATCTGCTGTCGGATGTAAACACACCCACACCAAGATCTTTATTTGATTCTTTATCAGCTACAGGTTGACTGGAAATTCAGATTTAGTGCCTTGCTCAAGGACTCTTAGGCAAGCTGCAGGGACTGGAGACAAAAGGCCAGCCTTCTGATTGGAAAACAAACTCTTGACCACTGGGCCAGGCCGCCCCATCTTCATCATCATTTAATGATTCTAAGCAGCAGAACTTTAATGAGGAACTTTACATGTCTGGAGCAAAGTATCAAAATATTCACATTACTAACAAATGCAAAAATAATATTCCATAATATTAAGCCAGCAGCCAGTTCTGTGGACCAGGTTTTTTTTGTTTTGCAGTTGGAGAAAATCTGACGTACGCTTGGGCAGCAAAGACTCATGGGACGTTCATAAATTGATAAAATATGAGTATTTATAATCTTATATTGTGTGAAAATCTACATGTAAATCTACACAGGTCCAAGAAGGTGTCACCTCAGATAGTAGGGTTTAAAAATGTTTTTTTTTTTTGTTTCTTTAGAACTCCAGCTTTTCACTCCAAGTAACAGTATAAAAGTACTGGTTTTAAAACTACTTAATGTATAAAATCATTAAAAGGGGAAAGTTATTAAGAAGTAAACCTTTTTTTCTGAACAATGACAAGCTCTCTGTTTACCTGTTTGTCTACATTCATACCCATGGATGGATGGTGGGCTGGATGGATGGATGGATGGTATTCATCTACCTTCCTACCCATGGATGTTTAGTTGGATGGATGGATGGATGGATGGATGGATGGATGGATGGATAGATGGATGGTTTTCATCTACATTCCTACCCATG